AGCATCAAAGATCACTGATCATAGATCACTATAACAAATAAAATAATAATAAAAATGTTTCAAATATTTTAAGAATTACCAAAATGTGACATACAAAGTGAGCAAAAGCTGTTGGAAAAATAGGACCTATAGACTTGTTCAACATAGGGTTGCCATAAACATTCAATATGTAAAAATATGTAAAACATCTGCAAAGCATGATAAAATGAAGCACAATAAAATGAGTTACACCTGTGTTAGAAAACTGACCCTAAGTTTCTAAGGGTAGGCAATAAACAGAATCACCAATATAATATTGAATGAGAAAGACAGAAGACTAACACTGACTGACTTCAGGATTTACTGTAAAAAAAAACGTACTGTAAAGCAACAGTAATCAAGAAAATGTGGTATGAGTGAAAGAAGAGACAAATAGGTGAATGGAAAAGGACAGAAAGCCCAGAAATAGACCCACATGAATACAACCAACTGATCTTTGACAAAAGAGCAAAGGCAATAGAATGCTGCAAAGATAGTCTTTTCAACAAATGGTACAGAAACTGCCGAACACTCACATGCAAAAAAAAAAAAAAAAAAAAAATCAGTGTGGAAAGACACCTTATACCCTTCACAAAAATGAACTCAAAATGTATCAGAGACCTAAATGTAAAATGCAAAACTGTTAGACTCCTAGAAGATAACATAGGAAAACTATAGATAATTTTGGATTTGGCAATGATGTTTTAGATATAATAGCAAAGGCACAATCCTTGAAAGAAATAATTGATAAGATGTACTTCATTAAAATTAAATACTTCTAGTCTGTGAAAGACCATTAGAAGACTAGAGAACGAGAGAGAATACTTACAAAAAACATATCTCATAAAGAACTGTTTTTCAAAATATACAAAGAACTTTCAAAATTCAACAATAAGGAAATGAACAAACTGATTAACAAGTGGACCAAAAACCTTATCAGACAGCTCAGCAAAGGATTATATACATAGAAAATAGCATTTGAAAAGATGCTTCACATCTTTCCTGTATATCATCAGAAAAAAGCAAATTAAGCAACAAGGAAATACCACTACACACCTATTAAAATGGCCCAAATCTGGGGCGCCTGGGTGGCTTAGTCGGTTAAGCATCTGACTTTCGCTTAGGTCATGATCTCGTGGTTTGTGGGTTCGGGCCCCGCGCAGGGCTCTGTGCTGACTGCCAGCTCAGAGCCTGGAGCCGGTTTCAGTCTGTGACTCCCTCTCTCTCTCACCCTCCCCTGCTCACACTGTCTCTCTCTCTCTCCTAGAAATAAATAAAACATTTAAAAATAAAATAAAATGGCCCAAATCTGCAAAATTGACAACTCCAAATGATGACTGGGATGTGAAGCAACATAAACTCTCTTTCATTACTGATGGGAATCCAAAACTGTACAACCACTTTGGAAGACAGTTTGGCACTTTTTTTTTTTGGCACTTTTTAATAAAACTGAACATACTATTACTGTGAGATCCAGCAATTGTGCTTCTTGGTATTTACCCAAAGGAGTTAAAAACTTAAGACCACACAGAAACCTGCACACGGATGTTTATAGCAGCTTTATTCATAATTGTCAAAACTTGAAAACAACCAAGATGTCCTTTAGTAGGTGAATGGGTAAATAAACTCTGGTACATTAATCCAATGAAATATTATTCAGTGCTAAGAAGAAATGGGCTCTCAAGAAAAACTTAGGTATGGAGGAAGCTTAAATGTATATTTCCAGTGAAAAAAGGCAATCTCAAAAGTCTACATGTTATGTGATTTCAACCTATATGATATACTGGAAAAGGCAAAACTATGGATACAGTGAACATATGAGTGGTTGCCTTGGGTTGGCAGTATGGGGAGGTATGAATATGTGGAAGCTTATTAGGACTTTTAGAGCACAGATGTTTTTCAGAGCAGTGAAAATACTCTGTAGGACATGATAATGAAGAATACATGTCATTATACATTTTCCAAATTCATAGACAGTACAAATATAAGAGTTAACCCTAAGGTAAACTGGATTTGGGTGATTATAATGTGTTAATGTAGGTTTATCAATTTTAACAAATGTAGCACTCTGATGGGGCATGTTGATGATGGGAGAGTGAAAGTGTCGGACAGAGGGCATATGGGAATCTCTGTACATCCCTCTTAATTTTTCTGTGAACCTAAAACTACTCTAAACAAATAAGGCCTTTATTAAAAAGAGTACTGGGAGCAAGAAAGTCTGAGTCTGTCCACATAGACACATGTGGATGGATCTATGAGAGTAAGCATGGAGAATGAAAATCTTTGTATTGTGTCTTTTTTTTAAGTTTATTTATATTTATTTTGAGAGAGAGTGTGTGTGAGCACAAGTAGGGGAGGGGCAGAGAGAGAGGGAGAGAGAGAATCCCAAGCAGGCTCCATGCTGTCAGCACAGAGCATGATGTGGGGCTTGATCTTATGAATGATGAGATCATGACCTGAGCTGAAATCAGGAGTCAGACACTCAACCAACTGAGCCACCCGGGTGCCCCTAGATTGTGTCTTAAAGCCCACTAATAAACAGCCACTGTGAAAGAGGCATTAAACAACCAAGTAGAAAGAATGATTGGACAGTTGATGTCAGCAAATCTCTGCCATAATTCTTAGTGCTGACACAATGAACTCATGAACAGAGTAGCTAGATGGCAGGAATGGAGTTGTGTATGGAATCGGTGGCATAGGCCCCACACTCACCAAAGCTGATTTAGTTACCATTGCTGCCAAATGTTCAACTTGTCAGCAACAGGGACAAATGCCAAGCCCAAGTATTTCAACAACCCTCATAGAAAACTAACCACCTACTTGGTGGCAAATTGATGACATTGGATCACATCTATTCTGGAAAGGGCATCAATTCATCTTGACTCGAATTGACAAGGATTCCTACTTGCAAGACCTCAGTCAGCATTGCTATCAGGGGGCTTACAGGATCCCCAAATAAGATCCTACACATAACATTGTCTCTGACTGAGGGATACACTTTCATCCCAGGAGGTTGACAATGGGCATTTGATGATGGGATCCAGTAGCTCTATTAAGTAGGAGAGCTGCTGGCCTGGTAGAGGAATGGAACTGTTTTTTGATGATGTAGCTGTGAAACCAGCTTGGATATGATCTTAGGAAATGGGACATCAACCTCCAGGATAAACTGAAGACCATTGTTAGTTGTTGTGTCTCCAATAAGTAGAATACATGGGTGTGGAGGAAAGGGAAAAAAGTAATAGTAATCCATTTACCATCAGTATCAATGATTTACTTAGGAAAATTTCTAATCCTTACAACTTTAGGTGCAGGGGTCTAGACTAGTGCTGTCCAATAGAAATATAACATGAATCACACATATAGCTTTAAATTTCCTAGGAGTCATATTAAAAAGAATAAAAGAAAAAGGATGAAATTAATTTTAATGATATGTATTTTATGTAACCTATTTGTATCAGACACATTTTTTTAATGTTTTATTTATTTCTGAGAGAGAGAGTGACAGCGTGAGTGGGGGGGGGGGGTCAGAGAGAGAGGGAGACACAGAATCTGAAACAGGCTCCAGGCTCTGAGCTAGCTGTCAGCACAGAGCCCGACGTGGGGCCCAAACCCATGAACTGGGAGATCATGACCTGAGCCGAAGTCGGACGCTTAACCGACTGAGCCACCCAGGCACCCCAGTATCAGACACATTTCAAGTGTTCATGGCCACATGATGCTAGTAGCTCCTGTACTGGACAGTGCCAGTCTAGAGATCCTGGTTCCCAGAGAAGGAATGCTTCTACTAAGGATCCAGTAGGCACTAAGTCACTTTTAAGCTCCTTAGGCCAAGAGGCTAGTAGGCAAGCAAAGGAGTTACTCTATTGGCAGGGTAACTGACTCTTATCATCATCACCAGTATGATCTGGCTCATCAGTAACACAGCAGGGGCAGAGAATTCATTTGGCACTCTTGGTATTCTACTACCCAAGTTTGATGATTGTCAAGTGGAGCAACCACAGCCTGAGAAGTCATGATGATCAGGGGGCACATGTCCTTCAGAGATGACAAGAATGACATGGAGGTCATCCTTCTAGGTAAATCCCCCAAGACCAGCAGAGACATTAGCCGGGAATAAAGGGACTCTAGGGTGGGAGTCAGGGGAGGAAAAGAGGAGTACTTGTGGTCTCCAGACAAGCTGTAGTAGTGTGAGTCAGCCCTTCAGTATAAGCTCCCTAGGAAAAGGAACCAACCAGAATCCTGGTATAACTGTTCCAAGATGGGGTGGAATTTCTACACAAAGCAAGTGGACATTAGAGGGTGCTGTGATGCATCGCTTAGATCCGCCCTTTAGGACCAACACACTCATTCCCCAGCTGTCTGGGGTGTTTTCTGCAGATAGCTGACTGATTGAGGCCCCCTCTGGGTATTGCTTCAGCCAAAGGGTGATGCCTGAGGTTATAGCCTCCCCTCAGGCAGCCAAATCCCTTTGAGTCAATTCAAAAGGAAAAAAAAAAATCCCTACTGTAGTGAAGGACTACTCCAAAGGGCCATCTGAACTTTAGAGCTTCTTCTATGGGATCTGGTGAAGCCTACTGTAACTACCCTGCAGTTCAGCCTTTGCTAATTTTGCTTTTCCCCATTTCTTTAAAGGTGTTATGATTAAAGAACATATGCCAACAAACCTCCTCACACATCTCCAACTCCAAGAAATTTGGTAGAGGACACATCTGCATTATGTGAAACACCAGAGTGATAACTAGTTAAGAAGGTAGGAATTAACAATTTTCATCACTAGCCTCATTCATTTATAATTGTATGCCAGTTTCATGATGCCCTTTAATGGTTGTGTAGGAAAGAAAAAGACATGGCCATTTTCCCCTGACCATTCCTCATTTCAAAAGAAGCATAGTTCTTCTCGTGGCATATGCCTCTTGAGATATGAGATATGCCTCTCTCTTACCTGAATGCCTCAAATCTTTCTCTGAGTTGTAAACACTTACCTACTTTAGGTGCTTTTTCACAATATATTTTATAGTCATCACTGATCTTCTGTATAGCCACCTTTGGATACTTATAGCAGAGTTCCCCAAAGGACATTTTCTCTAAGTCTATTAGGTAAGGAAAGAAAGGGATAGAATGTGATTGCCCACTCTGGTTCACAGATTTATACACTTTTTATTGAAGGTAGTACCTTTAAAATGTTATTTAAGTAGGACAATAATGTTTTAACGAAATGTTTACACAAGGAGAAAGTTCCCCAGGTGAAATTAGAAGCAAGGAAATACAGACTTCTTTCCTATCTAGAATGGGAGGATTCTGCTCTTCTTGGAGATGCTTGACCCATGGATATTTTCTGCTTGAGGGATACTAGGGTAACTGAGATATGACTTTGAAAGAAGTACTAATTGTTAACACATAAACAAGAAGTAACCCATGCAAATGAGTATTGACCCCTTCAAAGCAGCCATGTGCTGTGAGAAGGAATTGCAAATGTGTTTCAACATTCTACCATTGCTTCAAAGATTTTGGCACACCTAGGGATGGTATATTTCAAATAACATGCTAGGACCTTTCTTCTTTCTTGGCTCTGTCTTTAGGAATTACTTTAAGAATTAACAACTCACATTTCTGAATCTCATGAATAGTTGCAAATCATTGCCCTTTGAGAGTAAATTATTTTTTTCTAGAAATAGCATACACCATTTCTAGTCATGCATAGTGAATTAAAGGGAAATACCTTTTTTGTATCCAAAATCAGATGAGACAGGAAGACTGAGACATCAAGGAAGTTTTTATCATGTACTGGGCAATAGATGCACATTAGTGGCACCTTGCTTCCTACCAATGTGAAAACACTCATTCATGTTTTGCGTTCTGGAATTTAAAGTAAGTCTAATCTCACATAGTTCTCCAGAAATTCTCCTAAGGCAGTCCAGCGTTTTCTGAAGGTTATATAGGTAGAGTCTAGAAGGAATACTGGGGTGTGGACCCACAAATATCATTTGTCCTTATGTCAGTGTTGTCACTGTCATCATTATCATCTCTCAGTGAGGGGAATCTGGATGTAAGTTGTAAGTGCAGTAGATCATTCCTTCAATAGATTCAGGGCCAGTCCTTCCCTTGCTGATTAACCTTGGGCAAGTCTTCCCACTTCTCAGAGACTCATTTTCTCCATATAAAAGCTGAAAGTATTCTAGCTCTGGTGCTCTGTGAGTTTATGGTGCAGCCTAAGTGGAGGCATCAGCCCCCCTGGGAGTCAGGGCTCTGGGTTGGGCAAATGTACAGGAGGCCTTCAGCAGATCAGATTTGCATTTCAAAAAAGGAGTGGTGGAGGAATTCATGACGTGTTCTGGGAGATAGGGAAGAGGAATCACCATAAAGAGTACTTCCCACTCTTCTTGACCACCCCTGGCACTCCAAGACCAACAAAAGAATGCCTACTGCCCAGTATGTGTTTGGTGATATTTATCAGCCACCCTTTCTTCCACTTTCCTCTTGATTTCTGAGACAGTTCTGGAATGTTCAGAATTTAGACAGAAGGTAAAACTCTGATGTGAAACAGAAGGCTTGTTCATGCTAGATTTAAATAATTCATGCCCAAGCATGGCTTTGAGAGGCAAGCATTTTGTATATGGAGTGCACATCAAAGTTTTAAAATAATTGAATATTACATTTTTAAGTATAATCTAACAATTACTACTTATTGAACACTTGCTTACTGTGTGACTGCATTGCCTTCAATCCCCTCAACAATCCTACCAAATAGGGGCCATTATCTCCACTCTATAGCTGAGGGAATGAGCCTCAAGGAGACAAGTAAGTTGCCCAGGTTCACAGAGCAAGGGAATGGTGGAATTGAATTTTCAAAGCTTTTGCTTACACTTCCTGAAAGTGTAAAACCAGGCTTACAGACAAAACTCACAGGTGTTTGCATTTGGCCCTAACTCTTTGCTTTTCTAGGTCATGGTGCCCTCCATTCTCAGAAAGTAGACCCCAGCTACAAAACATTCTTCTCTAGCCTGACCACAACCCACATCCTGCACAAACCCCAGACAGAGCCTCTCAAAAAACCTGCCACCTCCTGCTCTAGCTGTCCAAGAGTTGACCGCCTCCCCACAGACCCACCATGGGTACAGCTGTAACCCTGTCACGTCCTTCAAAACCCTTAAAAGGCCCCTCCCAACAGAAGTTCAGGTCTGACATCTGGCTTGATGTGTGGCCCCTCTACTCCCTTGGAGAGTGAATAAACTCTGTACTGCTTGTTGCTCTACTCTTCGTGCAATTCTTTGCTGCTCATATCACTGGTTACCCTGCTGTGTTTTAAAAGTGTAGGTCATGGGACGCCTGGACGTTTTTAAAAGTATAGGTCTGGGGCGCCTGGGTGGCTCAGTTGGTTAAGGATCTGACTTCGGCTCAGGTCATGATCTCATGGTTCATGGGTTCGAGCCCCGCATCGGACTGAGCTGACAGCTCAGAGCCTGTTTCAGATTCTGTGTCTCCCTCTCTCTCTGACCCTCTCCTGCTCATGCTGTCTCTCTCTCTTTCTCTCAGAAATAAATAAAAAATATTTTTTAAAAAAAGTATAGGTCTGTGTTTTTAAAGGTGTAGGTCATGTGGCACCTGGGTGGCTCAGTGGGTTCAGTGTTTGACTCATGATTTCAGCTCAGGTTTCAGGTCATGATCCCAGGATCTTGGGATCAAGCTCTGCATCGGGCTCTCTGCTAAGCATGGAGATGTTTAAGTCTCTCTCTCTTTCTCTCTCTCTTTCCCTCCCTCTGCCCCTCCTTCCACTCTCTCTCTCAAAAAAGTGTAGGTCATGACTCAACACCATGTCAAAAAATTGTCATCACCAGGTTTTACAAAACTAAATAGAATAAAATATTCTAATATGGCATATTAGAGTATATCATCTTAAATAATAAGGATAAGTATTGCTTTGTGAAAATATTCTGCATATATGCACACACATATATACAGTATATGTTCCCTGAAGTCAAATGTATTTATTGTGGATCAAAGTTTGAGAAACACTGCAGGACACTGATGGCCTCAGCATAGATAATTAAAGCAGTTTGCTCAATTTGGATATTAATGGCTAACATTATTGGACTTTTACTATTGCCATCCACTGTGGTAATAGGTTTCATAGAAGACATTGGGTCATCTTCACAACAAACCTATTATTATTAGTCCCATTTTATTTTTTTTAAATGATACTATTTTCAAGGAGCTGTGATTTTGTCCTCCTTCTTTTTTTTAAAAAATTTTTTAATGTTTTATTTATTTCTGAGAGAGAGAGACAGCACAAACAGGGGAGGGTCAGAGAGAGAGGGAGACACAGAATTTGAAGCAGGCTCCAGGCTCTGAGCTAAGTGTCAGCAAAGAGCCCAATGCGGGGCTTGAACTCACGAACCATGAGATCATGACCTGAGCTGAAGTAGGATGCTTAACTGACTGAGCCACCCAGGTGCCCCTATTAGTCCCATTTTAAAGATAAGAAAACTGGGGCCTAAAGAGAGGCTGAATATATTGCTAAAGTTTTTTTTTGTTTAAAAAAAATTTTTTTTTTAATGTTTATTTTTGAGAAGCAGAGAGAGACAGAGCACAAGCAAGGGAGGGGCAGAGAGAGAGGGAGACCCAGAATCAGAAGTAGGCTCCAGGCTCTGAGCTGTCAGCACAGAGCCTGATGCGGGGCTCAAACCTACGGACTATGAGGTCATGACCTGAGCTGAAGTCAGACACTCAACCGACTAAGCCACCCAAGTGTCCCAAAATATTGCTAAAGTTTACAGTCACTAGCAGAGTTAAGATATACCCCAAACCTCAGGGACAGCGGAACCTTATGCTCCTAACCACTTCTCTTCACTGTCTGAGTGGGCTGCTGTATTATGTTGGGAGAAGGAGTGGCTATTAAAAGTATATTCACAGAATTGCTTTGGACATGACTCTGAAGGAGGTGTGGTAATGTGGAACATACTTATCAGACATAAAACATGAAGTATTTTTATAACTGAGGTGATGCTTTCCTGGACATGAGTCTGACCAGACTTGAGTGCTCTGGGTCCCTTAAGAGTTAGTAGAGGCCAGCCAGTCAGTCAGATCCTGGCTCTGCCACTTACTGTGTGACCTTGGGAAGATCACTTACCTGCTCTGTGCCTCAGTTACTCAGTACTTAGCTTACAGGTTATTTTGAAGGTCAAACGGGTTAATCTTTGCATTGCACAGTACTGACGTGTGGGAAATAATCACTAGATGTTAAATATTTGTATTTCCCAGTTGTCTACATGTTAGGGTCCAAAAAATTATGATGACTGCCCTTACCTTCTTGAAACACTGGAGACTTTAGTTCTACCTGAAGAGACCCTCTTTTTGTCAGGTCCTCAGTAGCTATTTTTTGCCACTGCAGAGAATCCATTTCTTCCATGTTAGCCAGACCCTGGCTTAGCTCCAGGGCTTCCTCACACCTCTTATAAAGAAGAATGTTCTCTTCTTTGCTTATAGATCCTTTTTTATGCCATTTACCTCTGACGAACTTGGTCTGAGTCTAAGAGAAGGGAATGGGGGCAGATAGCATTTGCTATAGGAACTAGACCAGAAGCAAGATTTTTATAATAGCCCAGTCCTTCTGTGCCTCTTTATCAGGTGAACGTATGCTGATTGTTTCATTTTGTTAAGGACCATTGCTCCTTTACACGACAATCCTCACCCTCTTCTAATCAGACCCATTTATACAAGGGAGAAATTCTACACGAATGTGACCTGTTCAAAGTCAGCAATTGCACTTGAGTCTTTTTCCTTGAGGGACCATGTCAACTCCCAGTTGCCTCTGGGAAAAATAAAAATTTCATTTACTTTGATAAATAAGGCTTCTAAGAGAGTAGTTACCCTTTTTTCTTTCTACAACCTCTTGATTTCCCCCAACTCAAAGTCCCTCCTACTGTAAAAACGAGAAACCAGTAGTCCTCTTCATCCAAGAATTCATCATACCAGGGGCTGAGCATCTGAAATCCAAACAGGACATAAACATGATGAGGTGATGCACAGCTTGCTGCATCTCTCATGCTAGTGTTCATGTGGGAGAAGAGCAGGCTGCTGATTCTGGATCCTCTCTAATATGGAGATATATTGGAACAGTGAACATTAGCCATGACCAACCAAGAGGCAACCTTTGTTTCTTTCAGTATGGCAGCTTGTGCAGTCTCTCTCTGAATCTCAAAGAACAGTAATTGATATTACTTAAGAAAAGACATAATTTGAGGGGCCAAGATGGCGGAACAGCATGGAAGGTTTTTTTTTGCATCTCTCATCCATGAAATATAGCCAGATCAACACTAAACCATCCTGCACACCTAGAAAACTGATTTGAGGATTAATACAACAATCTGCACAACCTGAACCACAGAACTCAGCAGGTGCATGGCATTGAGAGGTGATAGAGAGAAGGCCATGGAGGCCAGGAAGCTGTTTTTGCTTGTGGAGAGAGGATGGAGATGGGGAGTATGGGAAAAGCAACCTTCCTCCAAAAGCAGCTGAAGAGAAAGTGGAAAAGTGGAAATAGCCACAGGGACTAAACAAAAAAGGTAGAAAGGAGAAAGGAGAGGGTTTAAATTCCATTTAGACTCTATAAACAGGAGGAGCAGAGAGTCTAAAACTCTACAGCTCAATACCTGGTAGTGTCCTGGTGGGAAGGGTGAATCCCCAGGAGCAGACAGCGAGGTCCTCGGGGTTCTTGGGCCAAACGGGGAGAGGTGGTTCCCCTGTTGGGAGGACATTTGGTAGAGGCTGAGCAGCCACCCCTCAGGCAAAGGTCCCAGTGGACCCTGGAGAACCACATTTGCTGGTGCTGAAACAAGGACTGTAAAGGTGATGCCTGGCGCTAAATATGTGTTGTGATTTACCATAATCCCTGAAACACTGCTGCTACCTGATTGCGTGAACTTTTTCTGGGGTGAGCTGACACCCAGCTGCAGTCTCTGAGCATCGACAGTAGCACAGTCCTGCAAACATTCCTGGGGGCGGGTGGGCACCTGGCCATTGCTCAGTGAGACCCTCCTCCAGAAAGTCTCAGCAGGTCAAAGCCTCAGCCCCTGAGGAGTGAGAGGTTGGGAAACAGAGGGGCATCTGAGATAAAATTCAGGAGGGAGTTTTCACCTGGCAACCTGATGGCTTGGTCATGGACAGTATAAAAGCAGGGAGTGGTGGGAAGCCAGAGACAAAGGAGGGGTATACAATTGCTTGTCCAGGATAACAGAGTTCCAATACTAGAGATTGGGTAACTGGGTAACACCATTTTCATCCCTCCCATGCATGTGCATACACACCTACAAGGGCCACAACAGTCCACCCCAGTAAGCGAAGCAGCGCCATCTAGTGGATAATGGAGCTGTTACATTAAGCCCTGCCCAACTGGGCCAAGCTTGCTCTTCAGAAACACCACAAGTCTCTCCACCTGCTTAGTTTATGGACTATAAAGTGCTTCATAGTTTGACTTTTAGGGGAAACCAATGTAATTTCAATCATATTTCAGTTTGTTTATTGGTCCATATATTCAATTTTTTCTTTTTCTTTTCCTTTCTTATTCTTGAATACAGAAAGAGAAAAAAATTTTTTACTTTCAATTTTTATTAAAAATATTTTCTTTATTTTTCTACTATATTTTTTACTTTTTTGTGAAATTTTCAAATTCTATTTTACTTCCAACAGTTCATTTAATTCTATTTCATTGTATTCATTTTTTCAAACGTTGTCCTTTTTTTCCCCTTTTTTCTTTTCTTTTTCTTTTTCTTTTCTTATCGTTCCCTTTTCCCCCTCTAATCTATCAACCTCCTTTCAACAACCAGACCAAAACGCACCTAGGATCTAGAATAATTTATTTGATTATTTTGTGTGTTGTTTTTAATTTTATTTTTTTACCTTATTAATTCCTTTTCTTCGAAATGACAAAACAAAGGAATTCACACCAAAAGAAAGAGGAGGAAGAAATGACAGCCAGGGACTTAATCAACACAGATACAAGCAAGATGTCTGAACCAGAATTTAGAATCATGATAATAAGAATACTAGCTGGGGTTGAAAATAGATTAGAATCCCTGTCTACAGAGATAAAAGAAGTAAAAGCTAGTCAGGATGTAATAAAAAAAAATGCTATAACTGAGCTGCAATCTCGAATGGATGCCACAGCAGCAAGAATGGATGAGGCAGAGCAGTGAATCAGCAGTATAGAGGATAAACTTATGAAGAATAATGAAGCAGAAAAAAAGAGAGAGACTACAGCAAATGAGCATGATTTAAGAATTAGAGAAATCAGTGACTCATTAAAAAGGAACAACATCAGAATCATAGGGGTCTCAGAGCATGAAATGAGGGAAAAAGGGGTACAAAGGTTATGTGAGCAAATCACAGCAGAAAACATTCCTAACCTGGGGAAAGACACAGACATCAAAATCCAGGAAGCACAGAGGACTCCCATTAGATTCAACAAAAATCAACCATCAACAAGCATATCATAGTCAAATTCACAAAATACTCGGGGGCAAGGAAAGAATCATGAAAGCAGCAAGGGGAAAAAAATCCTTAACCTACAAGGGAAGACAGATCAGATTTGCAGCAGACCTATCCACAGAAACTTGGCAGGCCAGAAAGGAGCGGGAGGATATATTCAACGTGCTGAATCAGAAAACATGCAGCCAAGAATTCTTTATCCAGCAAAGCTGTCATTCAAAATAAGAGAGATAAAGTTCCTAAGACAAACAAAATTAAAGGAGTTCATGACCACTAAACCACTCCTGCAAGAAATTTTAAAGGGGGCTCTCTGAGGGGAGAAAAGATGGAAAAAAAAATGCCTCAAAAGCAACAAAGTCTAGAAAGGACCAGAGAACACCACCAGAAACTCCAACTCTACAGGCAACATAATGGCAATAAATCCATATCTTTCAGTAGCCACTCTAAATGTCAATGGACTAAATGCTCCAATCAAAAGACAGGGTAACAGAATGGATAAGAAAACAAGATCCATCTATATGCTGTTTACAAGAGACCCACTTTAGACCTAAAGACATCTTCAGATTGAAAGTAAGGGGATGGAGAACCATCTGTCATGAGAATGTTGATAGAAGAAAGCCAGAGTAGCCATACTATATCAGACAATCTAGACTTTAAAGTAAAGACTGTAAGAAGAGATGAAGAAGGGCATTATATCATAATTAAGGGGTCTATCTACCAAGAAGATCTAACAATTGTAAACATTTATGCTCCAAATGTGAGAGAACCCAAATATATAAATCAATTATCACAAACATAGAGAAACTCATTGATAATAATACCATAATAGTAGGAGACTTCAACACCCCATTTACATCAATGGACAGATCATCTAAATAGAAAATCAACAAGGAAACAATGGCTTTGAATGACACACTGGACCAGATGGACTTGACAGATATATTAAGAACATTTCATCCTAAAGCAGTGGAATACACATTCTTCTCCAGTGCACATGGAATGTTCTCCAAAATAGATCATTTACTGGGACACAAATCATCCATCAACAGGTATAAAAAGATGGAGATCATAATATGCATATTTTCAGACCACAATGCTATGAAACTCAAAATCAACCACAAGAAAAAAATGTGTAAACATAACAAAACTTGGAGACTAAAGACCATCCTACTAAAGAATGAATGGGCTAACCAAGAAGCTAAAGAGGAAATTAAAAAGTACATGGAAGCCAATGAAAATGATAACACCACAGCCCAAAACCTTCGGGATGCAGCAAAGCTGGCCATAAGAGGGAGTATATAGCAATCCAGGCCTTCCTAAAGAAAGAAGAAACATCTCAGATAAACAACCTATCCTTACACCTTAAAGAGCTGGAAAAAGAACAGCAAAATAAAATTCAAAACCAGCAGAAGACAGGAAATAATAAAGATTAGAGCAGAAATCAATGCTAATGAAACAACAACAACAACAACAACAACAACAAATAGAACAGATCAATGAAACCAGAAGCTGGTTCTTTGAAAGAACTAACAAAATTGAAAAATCCCTTGCCAGTTTGATCAAAAAGCAAAAGGAAAGGACCCAAATAAATAAAATCAAGAACGAAAGAGGAGAGATCACAACCAACACAGCAGAAATACAAACAATAATAAGAGAATGTTATGAGCAATTAAATGCCAATAAAATGGGAAGAAATGGAAAAATTCCTAGAAACATGTACACTACCAAAACTGAAACAGAAGGAAATAGAAAAATGAACGGACTCATAACCAGTAAAGAAATCGAATTAGTAATAAAAAAATTACTTTCCAGGGGAATTCTACCAAACCTTTAAAGAAGAGTTAACACCTATTCTCTTGAAGCTGTTCCAAAAAATGGAAATGGAAGAAAAACTTCCAAACTCTTTCTATGGAGCCAGCATTACCTTAATTCCAAAACCAGGCAAAGACCCCACTATAAAGGAGAACTGTACACCAATTTACCTGATGAACATGGATGCAAAAATCTATACATTAGCCAACTGGATCCAACAATACATTAAAAAAATTATTCACCGCGACCAAGTGGGATTTATACCTGGATACAGGGCTGGTTCAATATCCACCAAACAATCAGTGTGATACATCACAGCAATAAAAGAAAGGACAAGAACCACATGACCCTCTTAATAGATGCAGAGAAAGTATTTGACAAAATACAACATCCGTTCTTGATAAAACCTCTCAAGAAAATAGGGATAGAAGGATCATACCTCGAGATCATAAAAACCATATATGAAAGACTCAACACTAATATCATCCTCAATGGGGAAAAACATAGAGATTTCCCCCTAAGGTCAGGAATAAGACAGGGATGTCCACTCTCACCATTGTCATTCAACATAGTTTTGGAAGTCTTAGCCTCAGCAATCAGACAACACAAAGAAATAAAAGACATCCAAATTGGCCAGGAGGAGATCAAACTTTCCCTCTTCACAGATGACACGATACTCTATATGGAA